TATATATATATTTTAGATTGGGAGGAAATTAAAAAAAAACCCATCTTTATGTTGAAATCGTTGGCCAAGTATAAGAAAAAGAAAGATGTATAAAGATAAAGCAATTTAATGGAAAGGCTGAACTGATGTAAAGAATGTATTTATTTATAGACGTTTTAATCCGCAGTCTAACCATTGTTTTATATGTACGTCTCACTCATTGGAAGTCATTCTCTTAGCTCAGATTGAGACTGATTTGGGTGGCCATTTTCGATATCATGTAGTGTAATCAGAGGGTGTGATTTTGATTTGTACTCTCTCTCTCTCTCTCTCTCTCTCTCTCTCTCTCTCTCTCTCTCTCTCTCTCTCTCTCTCTATCTATCTATCTATCTATCTATCTGTCTATTAATCTATCTAACTTCATTTCTTCCTAGGCCTCCTCCCCCTTCCTCAATCCTCTCCTCTCCTCTGCTCTGTCTTTGTCTGCCTGCCTGTCCATTTGTCTGTCTGTCTGTCTGTCTGTCTGTCTGTCTGTCTGTCTGTCTGGCTGTCTGTCTGTCTGTCTGTCTGTCTGTCTGTCTCTCTCTCTCTCTCTCTCTCTCTCTCTCTCTCTCTCTCTCTCTCTCTCTATGTCTCTGTCTCTCTCTGCTCTTTTCCTTTCTTGATCTTTTTCTCTCTTTCTTTCGCCTTTGCTCTCTGTCTCACGCCACCCTCTCTCTGTCTCCTCATCTCTATCTTTCTCTCCCTACCTCCCTCCATCACTCTCTATCACTTTATATCTCTTCCTCACTCTCTCTCTCTTCCTCTCTGTCTCTCTCTCTCTTTCTCCATCTCTCTCTCTCTCTCTCTCTCTCTCTCTCTCTCTCTCTCTCTCTCTCTCTCTCTCTCTCTCCCCTTCTCTCTCTCTTTCCCTCTCTCTCCCATGCTTCTGATCTGTAACAAAGAAAGATACAGAAGGTCATTTTTACCATCATCTATCAAAATGCTTCCATCTTAACCATCTTGTTTAGTGTACTTACGACCTTAGAGCATGCATCAAAATAACATTGAGTGTGTATCTAGCTTACGATTATTATTGTTTATATTGCTGCTCATTTATATTATGCATGTGATTGTAAGCCTACTTGTGTGTGCATGTGTGTGCACGTGTATACGTGTGTGTGTGTTAGTGTGTATGTGTGTGTGTGTGTGTGTGTGTGTGTGTGTGTGTGTGTGTGTGTGTGTGTGTGTGTGTGTGTGTGCGTGCGTGTGTGTATGTGTACTCGCGGTGGAACACCAAACCAATGTGCCAGGATCTGGACAATAAAGATGTATCTTATCTTATCTCTCTCTCTCTCTCTCTCTCTCTCTCTCTCTCTCTCTCTCTCTCTCTCTCTCTCTCTCTCTCTCTCTCTCTCTCTTCCCAACTACACGTTCTGCAATAACGTAATATTACTAATAATAACCACAACAATCTATTATGACAATCCTTCCAGACAGAGACACGACACAGTCTTAGCATAGCGCCAGCCTATTGTCTCTAAACAAAGGCTTTATGGAAGCACCTGTGCTACACAATCTAATGGTTCAATATCTTGTTGAGTGTGCCAGACACTATAAGTTTTTGATAATCCCACCGTCCGTGACGTATCTGAATATAATATAGGCCCTCAGGCTACAGGGCCAATTGTTTTCAAATACGAAAATTTATGTAAACGATGTAAATAGATCTGGTGACGTAATGTACAGATAACTCAACCACGTGCAGAATTGAATTACATTAATACCACTGTCATAAAATGCGCTTGATAACACCCCCCTCCCCCCGAAAAACAATGATTAGAACATTTGTTAAATAAGTAAGTAAATACATAAATAGATAAATAAATAAATTCATAAATGAACAAAGAAAAAAAGAAAGAAAGAAAAAATGAAAGAAAGAAAGAAAGAAAGAAAGAAAGAAAGAAAGAAAGAAAGAAAGAAAGAAAGAAAGAAAGAAATAGATAAATAGATAAATGAGTACATGCATAAAAGATATGAATGAATGAATACAATTTCAGAAAAAAAGAGAAGATTAAAAAACATGACAAATAGCATCCCTTTTCCCTATTATGATAGCAAATCAGTTACAGGGTTTACCTTAACCTGAGAAGATTCAATAATTGATTTTAAAAATTGAGATAAATATTTAAACGACATATCGAAATAATTTAGTTCATTTAGTAGGCAGGCTGCTTTGATGCTGCCCGTCAAAGCCAACCAGAGCTACATCTCTCTCTCTCTCTCTCTCTCTCTCTCTCTCTCTCTCTCTGTCTCTCTCTCTGTCTCTCTCTCTCTCTCTCTCTCTCTCTTTCTCTCTCCCTTTCTCTTTCTCTTTATCAGAGCCAACATCTTTCGCTCTCTCTCTCTCTCTCTCTCTCTCTGTCTCTCTCTGTCTCTCTCTCTGTCTCTCTCTCTCTCTGTCTCTCTCTCTTTCTCTCTCCCTTTCTCTTTATCTTTGTCAGAGCCAACATCTTCCGCTCTCTCTCTCTCTCTCTCTCTCTCTCTCGCTCTCTCTCTCTCTCTCTCTCTCTCTCTCTCACACACACACACACACACACACACAACACACACATACACACACATACACACACACACACACTTTCTCTCTCTCTCCCTCTCTCTCTCTCTCTCTCTCTCTCTCTCTCTCTCTCGTCTACCTTAGGCACCTGTTGGACCGGTGCCATTAGAATCTAATTTATTATAAAATGTAACTTACTAGCAACGTGGGCGGAACAACATTACATTTTTATATCGCCTTATCCCAAGATTGACCTAGACTTATTTTATTTTTTTTACATTGCGAATAGTTAACCATTATCCTG